TGTTTAGAAAGCTTTATAAAGTAAGGAATATGATTATCTCATTTATTCTTGATGAGATATGGTAATTTCCATCTGATACTGGAAACCTGGCAACATAGAAATGCTTAATGCCAGGTACTTGTCAGCCAGTAAGTTTGAAACCTGGATTTGTTTTTCATTATATGTCTGCCATGGAAAAGTTACCCCCTTAAAAACCTCAAGTTTTTCTTTTTTTTTTTTGAGACGGAGTTTCACTCTTGTTACCCAGGCTGGAGTGCAATGGCGTGATCTTGGCTCACCGCAACCTCCGCCTCCTGGGTTCAGGCAATTCTCCTGCCTCAACCTCCTCAGTAGCTGGGATTACAGGCACGCGCCACCATGCCCAGCTAATGTTTTGTATTTTTAGTAGAGATGGGGTTTCAAAAATGGGCATAGTAGCTACCTTGCAAGCTGTCTGTGAGGCTTGGAGATGAGGTACATAAAGTGCTACTCTATTTCAGACTCTCTCCTTCATCTGTTTTTGCTCCTTTATTTCTTTCCATTGTCAAGGGGCTCACCCTCTTCTCTCTATAGTACAACAAGAATGATATTTTATTATTTCAATGCTCATTCCCATTTGACCATGACAGCAACCTGTTTTAGCAATATCAGCTATACCAGTTCTACATTCACTCTGTTTCCTCTCCCTCAGCTTATAGGAGTTAACTAGTTTCCCTTCAAAGACAATAGATTCCAATGCTAAAACAAAATGATTCCACCCCTGTGGAAACTCTCATGAGGAAAAAAGTTAAAGAACTTTCCAAAAAGTGTAAAAGATACCAGCAGCTGCTCTCTTACATAATGATACAATATTCCTGTGAAAAACTTGGGTGAGAGTCCAGGAAACATCTAAAGTGATCGTCTTTCTGAAGTAAACATCTGTGTTGATGGGAAATTGAGACATAAACACACATTCGGAATTCAAACACAATTCCCAAGTGTCACATTAGAATTCCATCAGTTTTTATGGAAAAAACAATAGATCTCCTAAGCTTTGTAAAATTTCAAGTAACAGCAGCCAAAGTCAACCACACAGGATTTTCATCTGTGTGTTTCGGGAAACAATTGGAAAAATTAAAACTGATTTTTTATGGATTTTGAATAACTTGGGCATCTTCAACAGTGCCTGCATCAGATCTATGGTCCTTCTGTGCAACTGACACCAGCTATGGTATTTGTCCATAATGACAGTTTCCTTCCCAGGCTAGTCATTGATTTTTCCATCCTACAAGATACTTAGTCATAAATGTTGTGTTTATATGCTCTGTTGCAGAAACATCCTGTACACCACAAGCAGCAAAGACTGTCGCTCATGTGCCACTACCTTGAAAAAAAATCCACATTTCTTCCTCCCATTCCCATTCTCTCATCCAAGGATAGGTCACAGTGGAAAGATTACTTCACTGGTCTTATAAAATACACTGGAGCAATCCCACTTCCTAAAGGAACCACACCCTTGTAATCAGAAAAAGAGAATACTGAGGCAACACAAAAATAAAAAGATAGTTACATGAAGCCATCCCGTCTCCTTCAGAATGTCTGCCCCCTTTGGACAGGAAACATTTCTCCTCGGTGTTTGTTATGGTACCAAGTATAGCTTTATAGACAAGTGAATTCACCAAAGAAATTATAATAAATCCGAAAGGCTTTTCTTAATGTTTTTTTTTTCCTTTGCTTATTTTTAGTATCTTTCTGTAAAATCACATCTTAAAAAAAGAAACGGATAAAGGAGCAAGAAAAGATGAAGGCGAGGGTATGAAGAAGCAGAGCAGCACTTTATAAACTCCTTCTCCAAGCCTCACAGACCGCTTGCAAGGTAGGAGCTACCATGCCCATTTTACAAATGAAAAGCTTCATGTTTTTAACCTGTCCATGGCCTACATATAGTAATAAGCAAAGCCAGGTTTCAAACTCACCAGCTGACAAGTACATAGAGTTCAGCATTTCTCCATTTCCAGGTAAATGCAGAGCTCTTGACAATCAATTGAACTAATAGTCAAGCTTAGAGAAAAAAATGAAAACTACTATGTTGGAATCATTTATTCTTGAAATCTGGTATAGACTAAAAATCATCTTGGCCATAAATCAGTCTTAAGAAAGCATCTACAAAATGCCTGATTTTAAGCAACATAACTTCCTGATGAGTCCTCTGTAATAAAGTAGCTGCAAAATGTTTATATAATGAGGCAACTTGTTTTATGAGATTACTACCCACAAACTGGTCAGGAGTTGAGGTCCTGTATTACTTTTCTATTGATGAGTAACAATTACCACAAATTTGGCCGCTTTAAAAAATCCCACTTATGGGAGTTGAACAATGAGAACACATGGACACAGGAAGGGGAATATCACACACCAAGGCCTGTCAGTGGGTAGGGGGCAAGGGGAGGGAGAGCATTAGGACAACTACCTAATACATGTAGAGCTTAAAACCTAGATGATGGGTTATTAAGTGCAGCAAACCACCATGGCACACGTATACCTATGTAACAAACATATACATTCTGCACGTGTATCCCAGAACTTAAAGTAAAATTAATCCCACATATTAGGGCATAGTTTTTGTAGGCCATAAGTCCATCATGGCATGGCTAAGTTCTCTTTAGCATCTGGAAGGCAATGAATGTGTCCAGTTGAATGAATACTTCCCTTTCATGTATTCTCTCCCTCCTTGACCCCATCTGTCATTACTGTCTTGATTCCTGAAAGCACTGATTAAACTTGTCTGTTTTTATTCAACATATCATGTATACTATTTTCAATTTATGTCACTTTGTACCAGAATTCTAGGATTATCCCCAAGATTTCCCTCGTCTTCCTCTGGTTTACATGCTATACCTAATCCCCCAGATTGGGAGTTTGATGGATTTGTCTCCCAGGATTAGGTTACGTTACACGGCAGAGTTGACTTTAGAAAGGGAGATTATCCAGGTGGTCCCGACCTAATTGCATGACGCCTTTAAAGGCAGAGTCTTCTCTGGCTGGCAGTAACTACTAAAAAAGTGGGCATGTCAGTACTACAAATGCAAAGGATTGAATTCTGCCAATAACAAAACTGAGCTTGGAACTGGATTTTTCCTCCAGAAAAAAAAAAAAAAAACCTTCCTTCAGGGAAAGATTTATCCAGGCTGACACTTTTATTTCAGCCTCATAAATGCTAGATAAAGGGGATTCCATAACAATCAACACAAGGACTCTGTCCTCATGGAACTTAAAAAACCTATCAAGGTGTGGTGGCAGTCACCTGTAATCCCAGCTACTTAGGAGGCTGAGGCAGGAGAGTCTCTCAAACCCGAAGTGGAGGTTGCCATGAGCTGAGATCACGCCACTGTACTCCAACCTGGGAGACAGAGTGAGACTCCATTTCATCTCAGATGAGCCTTGGCAACAGAGTGAGACTTCACTCCATCCCATTTCAGCTGTCCATGCTCTCAAAGCACTTCTGAATAACTCCAAAGTAACCCATATCATATTGTCCTGAAATTGCTTATTTATACATTCATCTCCTCACCATTTTGACCTTCTTGAGGAAAGACACCAGGCATAGCACTTGGCACATGGTAGGAGGCAGCAAAAATGTTCAGAGTGAACTGAATGATAAATACTGATGCCTTAAGAGGCAACAAACTCCTGCCTCACAGATATTTAAACAAAGACTAGACAATCATTTAGTGGGAGATGCAGAGAGAATTGAAGCATCTGATTCCTGGACCACTGAATAGGACCCTCCAAATCTGAGTTTCCTTGGGACTAGATGAAGAAAGCTAGCAAATGAAAAGTCACATGGAAGAGAAAGTGCTATGTTCGAGGAATAGCAAGTGGCTCTTTTGCTTGGAAAAGAGAGGACAGGATGGAGGTAGGATTCCAGCAAGAAAGAGGTGACACACCCAAGAAAGTAAAGGGAAAGTACTGAATACATCTATTCTTTAAGAGGAATGGGCAAGGTAAAGTATCCATCCTGGGATGCCAAAGCCAACAGAGACGAGCAACAGCAGGCAGCCATTTCCAGCCATGGATTTGAAGGGGCAGAAGAAGCAGAGTTACCAGAACCCTGTGAAAGAGGTGTAGCTTGATGGAAATTACGGACTGGACAGAGAAACAAGAGAAACAAAATCAAGGACTGACAGGAAGAGAGAGGAGGAATTAATACCCAGACATCCACCTCCCTCTGTCAATGGCCAAATGCAACAAAGAGCTACAGAGTGAGGAAGCCCAGGTGAGGCATGTAGAACCTAGGCTTCCAAATCCCCGAGCAGGGTGGAGAATGCACCTGGAGAGTCCAACGAAGCCTAAGCAACACAGATGGGGAAAGGGAAGCAGAGCACACCTGTACCAGGTCTCAAGGGGTAGGCACGGGGCTTGAGCATCATGCAGTGAGCCCTCAGGAGCCCCTGCAGAGTGTGAGGCATGATCCAGGCTTTGCCTGAGGATGACTAATTTAGTGGCTGTCATCAGAATGAACTCTGAATGAGAAGAGGCAATAGAAGGGAGGGAAACAAACTGAGAAACCACCAAAATGGTTGAAGCAGAAGGGGAGGCGTCTGTCTACAGGAGGGGATGTGCTCATCATTGCTCTCAGCCACTCACAGGCTCCTCGTGCCCCAGCAGTTTGCTGCTTGCTTATCTTCCAGGTGAACAGTGCACAAAGTCCCAGGGTGGAGAAGCAAGGTCTTCTCTACACTGGGAAAATGCATCTGTTGTTTACCTTTGAGGCTCCCACTGATGTTCACTTCACTTCCTTTCCTCTGTGGCTGAAATTTCACTGAGCATTGCCAGCAGAAAGGAACAGCAGAGACTGAAGGTCACATCCAGAGCAGAGGGCAGTCACTGAGTTGCTTAGCACAAGAAGCTACTAAGTGGATAGAGACCCGCAGGGAGAAAGCTCTGCTTGATTGTCAGTAGCCACTTCCTAAAGATTCTGATGTTCTGATGCTTTTCTACCCTTTTCTTCCTTATAGTGACCAAACAAACTATCCTGCCTGCCTTGCCCCTTCCAAAAACTATCTTCCCTGGGTCTCATGTCAGTAGACTTCCTTGGAAACCAAAGTCAATCCGACAACTCTATGGTCCACTAGACTGGCACAGAGATGACCAGAAGATTAATATTGCTCCATGAAGCTTTCTCTTTCTGCATGAGTACATCCAGACTTTCTTCTTCCATTACCATTGCTCTTGTCTCCATGGAAGCTACATTGCACCAAGTGGGCACAGGCTTCGATGGACAGAGCCAGAGTGACCGCCTGGTAGTGCCCTTCATCAGGTGGATAGGAAATAGCTCCAGCTGTGTTTCTTGTTAACTGTTCAGAATAACAGTCTTTGTTTTATTGGTATTATTATAAAAAGATTCCTGAAAAAGAAAAAGCAGCAGCTGTTTGAGTTCGCAGCTGTTTTCTGATGCACTATGCATCAGGCCTCATTTGATTGGGATTTATGTCTTATTTTCTTCACTGCTTCATTAAAAGCTTAGCACTACTAAGAGGATTATTTACAACATGGTATCGCTGAGACCTGGAGAGTCTTTAAAGATGTGTCTCTGAACAAACTCCTTGCCAGGCTTTTCATGATCAAGGTATGGAGGGAAAGAGCATCCAAAAAAAGAAAAAGACTGAATTACCACACACTTAGAAGTTCTTCCCATACTTGTGACATTGCTATGTATCATCAGCAACATGAATCAACAAATCCCAATACATAAGTTTCTATTTCAGACTAAAGGGTGAAATGCTACAAAACAGCAATACCAAGCATGTGACACTCTCTCTCTCTCTAACCTTTTCTAAAGCAGTCCTTCTCTCATGATTGGAAGCCACATCCCAACTGGAGTTATTACAACAAATAAAGTGTTTATGAGCATTTTCCCCGCTCCCCCAACATCTGCCAGTCTATCCACTCCCAGGGACAACAGGAACACAGGGCAGCCGACCCATGGGCTTTTGCTTAGACTCAGGGTTGTGGTGGAGACAATCAGACACTCCACAATGGAAAATAGCAAGACCAGCTGAAGGCCAAAGTGGCAAGAGACCACTTGGCAACCACGAATGTGTGCCCTGAAACAGTAAATAACATTGTGTGAATTCAGTCATCCATTCTGTTGATGAAGTCAGCACACAAGTATTTATCTGACTACAGATGTGTTTTCGTTTTGTGACATGTTTTTAAAAACCAACTTTGATGACAAAAGAAAAAAACACTTTCTTTAACCCTCTCAATTTGTGTTTCTAAATCTGTTTTCTGTACTAAGAACTGCACAAACAAATGATTTGCATTGTTTTTCTGATGTAATCTAAATCTCATTTCTATAACTAGGTTGATTTCTTGTCTTTCAAACAGACACAAGACAGCTGCCTTCCCAATAGAGCCCTGTGCAAAAAGGGGAGATACACCCCAAAGAGGGCTGGCAGCTGGAATTTCCCCAGTGTGGGCAGGAAACCTGGCAAGCTACAGGAGGACGGGGAGGACTGCGTGGACAGACAGGACCCACGTGTTGCTGTGACCGTCACTCACGTAGCTGCTCGTTCTTTTATCTTCTGAAGGGTGGTTCTTGGCTGCTGACTTCACTTTCAGAAAGCACCCACCTTCACGAGCCTCGAGGATCATCTTCTACTTCGTATCCTATTTTCTTGAGCAAAAAAGAAATGAATCAGTTTAGAACACTCTGAGAACAGGGAAAAGTGAGTAAACAAGCTTATTTTTTTCCCCTGGATGGAACATAAGTTCTTCAAGGGTAGACACATAGTACAGGTGGTTCATTGTGAACTATCAATGTACTATTAAAATAAGCCAGTTAGGGGAGTGGTGGGCTTCTTTTCAAACTAGACCCTCCCTGAGCTGGGAAGGAGGAGAATACCAGGGTCTGGACCTTTTTGTTTTTTCAAGAAAACATTGTTTTGGTTTTTTTATTTTTGTCAAACAAATCGTTTTTGACTGTGAAATCTAAAAAAGGTCTATTTTTTCAGCCTGCACTAAGCAGTTCAGCTTATGAATATAAATAGTCCCTGGCTTTTGTCATTAGAATGAGTTGTTTAAGCGTACAGTACTCAAAGACAATATTCTCAAACCATTATAAGCAGGATTCTTTCATTCTTCATTCAAGTAAACACGTCTCAACATGTCTGTGGGTCTGGCATTGGCAAGGGATGTTCTTTGAGAATCATTTTCCAGGTAGAAGTTGACAATGAACCCCTCCTTTTACCCCACCAATTAATAATTACATGTGCTTGAAATGGTCCCACCTACATGATCTGCACATGCAGAACAGGGAACGAAAACTGGCATTAAGGTACATAGGAGAAAACATACAGCACAGCACTTACACACACTGACTCAAAGTTAGCTGTCTGGGTTCAGTTCCCACCTCTGCCACTTGCTAGATCAACTAAAAAAAAAATTCTCCTTCAAGTAATAATACAAACGATTTAGATAAGGACTCAGCACACAGTAAGTACTCTACTAAGCGTTAGTTATTACTAAAAGCCTGGTTTAACAGGGCCGTAAGCCACCACACAGGGGAATCACTGAGGACCCAAGACCTACGCTTCCTCCAGCTGAAGCGGCCGGAGTCATTTCCCTCACTCGCCACCAGCCCTGCTGATGCTGCCCCGTCTTGCTAGTGATACCACCCTAATAACATGAACGCCTTCACTGCCACCTTCTCCAGCCTCTCAGTGCTGTCCTGTCAGTCTCCTGAGTTGATCCTGTGGCTCTCTCAAATAGAAGGCAGGATTCTCTTTCCATCGTTGTTGCATCTTTTTACCAGATGTCGAAGTGTGACCTTGATCTCTCTGTTTTTTAATAAATCTCCCATAAAGGGCAGCTTACTCTTTTAGTTTCCTTCAGAACTATCTTCCAAATAACTCGAGAAAAGCAACACGCTGGGCAAAGTCAGAAAACATTTGAGTGGCAGCATAAATAACCTGCTCAGCAAATCCCTTCCCAGTGATGATGTTACTGTTCACAGTGGTAGGTAGGCATCTTGAGCTCACCCCATACGTGAGTATCATTATGCTTTTTGTACAGTAGTACCCACTTACCTGCAGTTTCACCTGCCATGGTTTCAGTTACCTGTGGTCCAAAGATAGACGACTATGGGCGAACCTCACTTTATTGTGCTTCACAGATACTGCATTTTTTATACATTGAAAGTTTGCAGCAACCCTGCATTGAGCAAGTCTATTGGCACATTTTTCCAACAGCATGTGCTCACTTCAAGTCTGTCAGCACTTTTAAGTTTTTTTTTTTTTTTTTTTGAGACAGAGTCTTAAAGGCTGGAACGTGTGATCTCAGCTCACTGCAACCTCTGCCTCCCTAATTCAAGAGATTCTCTTGCCTCAGCCTTCCGATCCACCACCACACCTGGCTAATTTTTTTATTTTTAACAGAGACAGGGTTTCACCATGTTGGCCAGGCTGGTCATGAACTCCTGACCTCAGGTGATCCGTCCATCTCGGCCTCCCAAAGTGCTAGGATTACAGGCAAGAGCTACCACACCTGGCCAAGAATAAGCTGTTTTTTAAGATATATACATTGTTTTTCTAGACACAATGCCATTGCACACTTCATAAGCTACAATGTCATGTAAACATAACTTTTGTATGCACTGGGAAACCAAAAAAAAAAAAATGTGTGACTCACTTTACTGAAATATTTGCTTTATTGTAATAGTCTAGAACCAAACCTATACTATCTCCAAACATGCCAGTACAGAAAAATAAGATTTTAAAAGAGAGATCACATTCACATAACTCTTATTATGGTATGTTGTTATAATTGTTCTATTTTATTATTAGTTATTGTTGTTAATCTCTTATGGTACCTAATTTACATGTTAAACTTTATCATAGGTATTTATGTATAGAAGAAAACATACTTGATACCTAGATAGCATGATCTCCAAAGCACCACAGAGCAAAGAAGCATGAGTCCAAACAGCCAGATATCTACCAGACAACTCCAGTCCCAGAGAAGAGTCTAAGGAAAGGAGGGCAAAACCCAAAGAATGAACCATCTTCAAAGGTGGGACAGATTCACTCAGTAGGTATTTATAGGGCACCTGTACCGAGCACTGTGTGGTGCTGGGAATACAGCTCAGAACAGACTATCTCCCTTGTGGAGCTTATAACCCAGTGCAGGGAAGCAGTTAATAAACAAGTAAATTAGCAAAATATAAAATATACAATATTGTCTGATGCTTAAATGTGCTATAGAGAAATAGAAAGCAAGGTTGGGGGAAAAAGAGAGCCAGGGTGAATAATAGTCAAGATAAAGCAGAAAAATCTATTATAAGAGATAAGAGAGAAGGAATTGCTTTTCCCTACTCTCTATCATCCACTCAACACAACACTTCTGATATCAGATATGTGGGGGTTTTCCACACACGACAAGCAAGCAATTCCAGAGCAGACATCAGCTGAGTATCCTCTAATTCAATTCAATTCAATTCTGATACTGTCCATCTGTAGATAGCATCAGATCCCACAGGTTGAAGACTTAGTCCCACAAGACTGCCTGTCACTTCAGATTCCAGTGGCAAGTAGCAGGTTGTCACCACGGTCTGACTGACTAGCTATAAACCGGGGTTCCCACAGTCCTTACCTTGGGTGCAATTGATTTGCTAGAGTGGCTCACACAACTCAGAAAAACACTTTATTTACCCACGTATTATAAAGATGAAAAGGGCAAGGTATGGACCAAGTGGCACGCCACCCTCCAGGAACCCCCAAGTTCAGCTATTAGGAAGCCCCCCAAATCCAGTACTTTTGGGCTTTTATGGAGGCTTTTTTAATTTTTATTTATTTATTACTTTTTTATTTTTGTATTGTACTTTAGGTTCTGGGGTACATGTGCAGATTGTGCAGGATTGTTGCATAGGTACATACATGGCATTGTGGTTTGTAGCCTCCATCCCCCAGTCACCTATATCTGGCATTTCTCCCCATATTATCCCTCCCCCAACCTCTCCATTCCCTGCTGTGCCTCCCCTGGCCACCCCCAAGAGACCCCAGTGTGTGATGCTCCCCTCCCTGTGTCCGTGTATTCTCATTGTTAATACCTGCCTATGAGTGAGAACATGCAGTGTTTGATTTTCTGTTCTTGTGTCAGTTTGCCAAGAATGATGGCTGCCCTTAGCAGTTTTTCCTTCATTTCAAACCTGGTGAATCTGACGATTATGTGCCTTGGGGTTGCTCTTCTTGAGGAATATTTTTGCAGTGTTCTCCGTATTTCCTGGACTTGAATGGTGGCCTCCCTTGCTAGGTTGAGGAAGTTCTCCTGGATAATATCCTGAAGAGTGCTTTCCAGCTTGAATTCATTCTCTCCGTCACATTCAGGTACACCTATCAAATGTAGATTAGGTTTTCACATAATCCCATATTTCTTGAAGGCTTTGTTCATTTCTTTTCACTCTTTTTTCTCTACATCTTGCCTTCTCATTTTATTTCATAGAATTGATCTTCAATCTCTGATATCCTTTCTTCTGCTTGGTCGATTTGGCTATTGAAATTTGTGTATGCTTTGCGAAGTTCTCATGTTGTGTTTTTCAGCTCCATCAAGTCATTTATGTTCTCTAAGCTGTTTATTCTAGTTAGCATTTCATCAAATCTTTTTTCAGGGTTCTTAGTTTCTTTGCATTGGGTTAGCATGTTTTCTTTTAGCTCTGAGAAGTTTGTTATTACCCACCATCTGAAGCCTGTTTCTGTCAATTCATCAGATTCATTCTCCATCCAGCTTTGTTCCCTAGCTGGTAAAGAGTTGTGATCCCTTGGAAGAGGGGAGGTATTCTGATTTTTGGTGTTTTCATCATTTTTGTGCTGGTTTCTTCCCATCTTTGTGGCTTTATCTACCCGTGGTCTTTGTAGTTGGTGACTTTCGGATGGGGTCTCTGAATGGATGTCCTTTTTGTTGATGTTGAAGCTATTTCCTTCTGTTTCTTAGTTTTCCTTCTAACAGTCAGGCCCCTGTGCTGCAGTATTGCTGGAGGTCCACTCCAGACCCTGCTTGCCTGGGGATCACTTGCAGGGGCTGCAGAACAGTAAGGGTTGCTGGCTGTTTCTTCTTCTGTTATCTTTGTCCCAGAAGGGTACCCACCAGGTGTCAGCCTGAGCTGTCCTTTATGAGGTGTCTCTTTGGGTATACGGGAGTCAGGAAGCTGCTTGAGGAGACAGTCTGTCCCTTATAGGAGCTCAAGGGCTGTGCTGGGAGCTCCATTGTTCCCTGCAGAGCTGCTGGGCAGGTATGTTTAAGTCTGCTGCAGCAGAACTCATAACCACCCCTTTTCCCAAGTGCTCTATCCTAGGAAGGTGGGGCTTTATTTGTAAGTTCCTGATGTACTGCTGCCTTTTTTCATAGATGACCTGCCCCACATGGAGATAATCTCTTCACAGTCTGTCAGCAGAGGTGTTACTGAGCTGCTACAGGCGCTGCCCAGGTGCTGTGTGAACTTCCTTGAGGCAGTTAGAACTGCCTTGGTATTGGCAGACTGCCTCCATAGTGGCAGATGCCCTTCCCCACACCAAGCAGAACCATCCTGGGTGCAGCTGCACTTGCTGCAAAACTCTCAATCCAGAGCGTTTCAGATGGCTTGTGTTGTGAGGGTGGTACCCGCTGAGCCAGATCACCAGATAA